ACTGGTGCAAAGCCCTGGGTGGACACTTCTATTTCAGTTTAACAGAGGCTTTTGTTTAAACCTGTTCCCAGTCGACTACAGTCAGACTTCAAAAGGCCTGGTTTAAACCACAGTAAGAGTGTTCACCCAGAGAGTTGTACTCCTCTAATTACATCCGTTTAAATCCATCCCTTAGGTTAAACCAGGGCTGCAATGTCACGTAGACAAGGCCTTCTGGCTTCTCTGTTGTGCCAGGCTCTTTCATGTGCAGGCAGTTGCGGGGGGAGGACGAAAGGTGAAACCCGCCCAAGGTTGCTGAATGGATTCAGATACCTGAAGGCTTCGAGCTTCTCTCTGATGTTGGGGTGTGTGATTTCCCCATCCTCCTGCACTAATCACACCCCGAAGGAAGTTTCTTCTTCTAACTGCTAGGCAGACAGCGTGCTTGGCGCTGCACCAGATTGGCCCTGTCTGCCTGCTCACATGCTACCCAAGACAGGCACAGAAGACGGAGGCTGCTTTGGGAAGCCCCCAGGAGGGGGGTGAGTAGGATGTTTGTTTCCAGTTAAAATGATTAACTTTTTGCGGGCCTTGCAGAAGGAGCGAGTCTTCAGGTGGGACCTCAATGAGCTGAGGAGGGTGGTTTGGTGGGCTGGGCTGGGGAAGTATTTCTGGGCTTCCTTCTGCATGTATACCCACCTAGCACCTACTTCTTAGCCAGACTGAGGAGCCTGTCCAAGCCACAGCATAACCTGTGTATGTTCCACACCCTCCTGTACGCTTCACGCTGCTCCATGGCACAGGGCTGCCTCCTGCAGGACAACCTCTGACGGGGGTTCTGCTCCCTGCTCTGCATGTGTAGCACATACAGGGCTCTGCAGAGCTGGGCCAGAAGCTCGGAAGCTGCAGGAAGAGAAAACAGTGTGGGCATGAGCAGGGGAGGAAGCCAGCACAGAAAGATATCAGAATGCTGCTGCAGAGCAAGGTTATCTCTGCAAAGAAAGGGAGAGCGAAGCAGCTAATGTCACAGCATTTGGGAAGCTCTGCAGGGCTTGCATTGGCTTTTGCATGTTGCTTTAACCTTTTCCTTGAAGCTCAAGCTTGTGCTGCGGTGTTAGAGACAACACACATACACACAGGCGCATTCTGCCTTTGGTTATACCCTCGCATCCCCACAGAGCTCAGTGTTAGCGAGGGCACAACTTAAGCTACAGTTTACACACAAATCTCTTGCGGCTCAGCAATGACGGCGGTAAGAAACCGACAACAAGTCCATAGCATTTAAATGGGCTTTAGGCAAAATCTCTCCCTTGCAGGGTGCCTGGCTGTGGCGAGAGCTCCTTAAAGCCTCTCTCATTTCCTAAAGTCTTGTTAATTTCTTTTCACCCCAGGCCTTCCCAATCAACAGCAGGGGTATATTCAAGAGAGAGCGAAATTGCACTGCAAAGCACCGTGGGTAATGCGTGCAATCCGTTCTAGGAGCCAGAGGGCTTAGTCTCAGCAGCATTAGAGGAGACAAGCTGAAAGATCCCAGAGCAAGAAGAGCAGCGACACTGAGCAGCATTTTTTCCATCCAGAGAACACAAGCACCATCTAGGGTGGGAAGTAGGACCGAGATGGGCCCTGGGATTGGGAAGCCTACCCCCCTCCACACACAAAAGGCTGCCCCCTCCTCCCGAAACACTCTTCGGGCACGCTGATTCCGATAGGGGATTGCATTCACACAGCATGCCTAACACACCATGCACACAGTGGAGAGTCCTCAAACACCCCCCACCCCCTTTCCTGAGGATTGCCTTGATTCTGAATTACAGTAACGCAGGCCTAAGACAGGGTTATACATACAGACACGAGCTCCAAAACTCTTTCCAGAGAGGGCTGGTAGGATTTATCCCTGCGCAACCAATTGTCCCCCACCCCTTGAATTCTCTCTCACCTCAAAGAGACTCTCTATCTTTAATGGCGCTAATGAGACTCCCCTGTTCTGGCTGTCAGGGTGAGTCAGGAGAATAGCCCTACACCTCCATACAGGGACCTGGGACATGACAGCCAGCTGCAAGAAGTTACAAGGGAAGAGCAAGGGATGGCACTGCAGTCAGGACTGCAGCATCCACAAGAGAAGTGTTTCATCCTGAGAACTAGAATTAAAGGTTAAACTAGAAGGTTAAACTGAGAACTAGAGTTAAATCAAACTGGGCAGCAATGCACAGGAATATCTAATGGGCAGACTCAAAGCTGTTGGGAGTTGGAGGAAGCCTTGAGCTTACTTCCCCCTCTGAGACCAGGAGCCGAGTAAATTTCACACTGCTCCCAGCATATCTATGGAACAGAGGAGGCAACATAGGAGAGCAAAGGCAGTGGAAGAGGCAATGGAGCTGGTGCAGAAAAGGGAAGAGAGAGAGGCTAGAACATTAAAGCTGGGGAATTGGAGAGGGAATATGGGCTGGGGAGGAGCAATGGATGATGCATGGCAGCATCGCTTCAGCACCTCCTGCGGCGGGGAACATGGAGAATGTCCTAGAACGCACTTGATCTTGTACGGCTGTGCTGAAATGAAGCAAAGCAGCTTGAAACTGACAAGACTCTGCTCTCTTTGCTCTCTGACTGCTGGCAGGTCAGCATCCTGTCATCTCCAGGCCACTACAGAGGCAGGCGTGGCGGAATGGTTGGCAGAGCGTGCTCTGGTTCAGAGGGGGGCCGGATGTGATGATGGGAGACAGAGCAGAGAGGCAGAAAAGAGGGACTGCCAAGGAGAGGGGACTAGAGTGACTGAAATGGAGAATGGCAGGGCGGACAGAGAGACAGGGGGCCTCCCTAAAAAATGCAGAGGAGAGAGTGAATGAGACAAGGGAATAGGAAGATAAATGATGCAGGAGGGAAAGTGACCAAACCTAAATGGAACAAGGAAAAGCAAAGAAGGGAAGTGAAATGGCTGCAAAGAAAACCAAGGGAACCCCTCCCTCACAAGTAGTTTCAAACCCTCACACAAATACAAGCACGCATATTTGGAACAACTCTCCCATCCGACTGGCCCCTCTCTGGCCTCACCTGTCATCATATCACCTCCACTTTCTTTGCTCTGCCAGTGGTGCCAGCCTGGAGGCCTCACCTGTTTGTTTCATTCCAGGTCATTCTCATGTCTTTCTCCAGGCTGCCCTTTTCCCAACCCAAAGAGCCCCTTCCCTAGCCCAGCCCACCGAGTCACCACTCCCTCTCTCAGTCCCCTCCAAAGGACTCACTTCTCATGCAATGCCCACAAGAAAAGAGTCCACAAATGACTGGCCATTCCCTCCTCTGGGCTTCCTGTCGTGCACTGTCTACTCTGCCTGGTTTAGACCATAGGCCCTTCAGGCCTATTAGGGAGGGCAGTGCTCTTCTCCCCATTTTGCAGATGGGAAACTGAGGCACAGAGTGGCCAAGTGACTCTCCCAAGGTCACACAAAGAGTCAGTGGCAGAGACAGGAACTGAAGACAGGTCTCCAGCTAGCATGGTAACCGGTGGACCACCCTTCCCCTCATTTGGTACCTACTTTGCACATATATCTATCTATCTATCTCTATATCTATCTATATGTATAGGTATATATATGACACCACATGAGCTGATCTAACTCCTAATTAAGTGAATGGAAAGACTCCCATTGGCTACACTGGGAGCTGGATTGGGCTCATAAGGGGATGAATCAGGCCCTGAAAGTACTGACCTGTGCTGTACGTATATTTCACACAGAATACTAACTGTACCTACTTTGCAAAACAATATTGCAATGACATGTGACAATTAAATTAAAATGCTGATTGGATAGTAGCATGACCAAGCTCCACGATTTTAAAGAGACAGTGTCATCTTGAACTGTACAACATGTGCTCCAGCAGCCTGCTGTGCTCAGCATGGACCTGGCTTCAGAAAACAAATCAGACCGCACTGTGTGGCTACCCTCCTGTAGCACCGGTGGGCCAGTCTTTCACACTGATTCAGTCTGTCTGTCTGCCTGTCTGCTGCATCTGCCTCTCCAGCTATAGCACTGACCTGTCCGTCAGTCTGTCTGATCGATCTCTCTCCCTGCAAGAGTACACACAGACAGGCAAACAGATGAAGGAGAAGAGAGAGAGACACTGATATATTTACACACTTTTTCAGTCTGGCTATTTCTCTGTCTCCAATCCCCATCTGGGTATTGTCTGTTATTACAGGTCCCTGTAGGATTTTCTCTCTATCTATGCAAATGTCTGTGCTGCAGGTACAGTATTCCTGATTTTCAATTAGTTTGAAATGTCACTTGGGTAAAAAAAAAACCAACCAAACCCACAACACAAGTGTTTCTCTTTTCCTCTAATTCAGTCTCCTTCCCTGCCTGCCAAGGTGGGATGGGAATATCTGACCAATGCAATCTCCATTACAAAATTATTAACACTAATTAATAATAATACACCAGTATGCTTTCTCCAGGAGTGCCCTAAGCCCACATTCCTCTACCACTGTGTTTGGAGAAAGGAAGACAAAGCAAATTCTTATCATTAAAAACATCCCCTTGGGACAGAAAATAATTTAGTTCATGTTGAAATTAAGCAATGATTTAATAGGTATTTCTCTCCTTTGCCTTCCACCCGCCGCTTCAAACACACAGACTAGAAATCAGAAGCAAGCAGGGATTTTCCCTTCAAAACACAATCTCCTGCAACATTAGATAATGCAAGAGAGAGAAGCAATAGAAAAGGCTAAGCCAGCTGTTGGGATAAGTTTAACTGCTCACTTTGGATGCTGCATTTCCTCAGAGTTGTTTACAAGGGTTGAAAAAAGACCTGTAGTCATAAAATCCCCTAAGCAGACGCTCCTGATGTTCCACAGAACCTCTTTTTCATCTCTCCCTGTTCAAGGAGAGAGAGAGAGAGGAGGAGAGAGAGAGGGAGAGAAAGTGAGCTCACGTTCACACATTGGTAAAGAGGCTGGTCTTGCAATGCCTTTGAATATTTTACTTTTAGTCAGTTTCCCATCAGAGTCGGAGTCATACATGCACACACTGAGCTGATGCAAACTACAGCAATGGACAGCACTAGAAGATTTGAAATCTAATCACATGCATTATACCTCTTGGATATATTTTTAATCACACACACACACACACACACATACACATATAGACACACTTCTACATACATATATATATATAGACACAGATATAGACAGAGACAATATCATCCACACCACCTCCAAACAAACACCTTTTTCTTTTCTCAGAGGATACACATACACACACATCTCTCTTTATCTCCTCCTGGCTTCCTGGAGGATTGTGCCGGCTGTTTTTCATGGAGAAAGTCCAGGGAGAAATGGAGATTGAGAGATGGGAAAGGAGCGAAGAGCTGTCAGATGCCGAGAAAAAGGTGATTCAAGAGACCTGGAGCAGAGTGTACACGAACTGCGAGGATGTTGGGGTCTCCATACTGATCAGGTATTTTCAAAAAAAGAGACAAACAAAAAAAAGAAAGAAAGAAAGAAAGAAAGAAAGAAAATGAAATGAAATGAGTGACAGATAGACAGGAACCATTCTCAGTCCCTATTGGCTCTGATCATGGACAATTTCACAGCACTTCTCTGATTTCAACATGTTGGGGGGGGGGGGAGACCCCTATAATGTAGTTTGTGGGAATCGGTATTTCAATGGGAAAGGTCACCTTATACCCTGTGTGCAGTGTTGGCGGGGGTGGGGAGGGTGTAGAAGGAGGGGATTGCTGTACCGTTTTCGGCTCAGTGGTTTCTACTCACATCCCTGCTGATGGAATTATATGTACTAGGTTTGTGGGTGAAATAATGCAACTTACAAGCCAGGATGAAACCAAAACAGATCGGTCTCTGACGGCACCATCTGTTTGTCGGACGACAGCGTCGGTATAAAGGATAATGCTGAAGTTGCCTGCTAAGGCTGGTACGAAGGTCATAAGCAGGAGGGAGGGGGGCATGTGGCAATTGGTAATGAGCATGGGAGGAATGAGGCATTATTGCATTGGGATTAGGATATGGAAACTACCTTACAGCACCGTATTGTGTGTTGCACAGACCTGTAGGTAAAGGGAATGACGTGTGTCTGTCCAGGGGTAGGAAAGGGGCAGGTTGCTACTGGGGTTTCTCATTCTAAAATAGAAGGATTTGTTTTCTTTCAAAGAACCTTTAACTGTTATTGAATGTTTATCTTGTTTTGTGCTTCTGAACCCTCTGGGTACGCCCGGATGGGCAGCACAGACTCCAGGACCGAGTCTCATCTCGCTCACACCAATGTAAATCAGAAATAGTGCTGCTGAAGTCAGTGGAGTTACCCAAGTGCACCTTTGGTGTAGGTGGGAGGGGAATCAGGCCTTAGGTTTAAAGGGGCGTGCAGAAGAACCATAGAAGGAGCTGGGGAGGGGAAGATGGGGCTGTAGAATCATAGGGTTAGATGGGACCTCAAGGTGATCTAAACTAACGCCCTGCAGATAGAAGCAATGACCAGTTGCCACTTGATTTGAGCAAAAATGTTTAAGGATGGACCTGAACCTCAGCCTCCAGCTCCAACCCCCCATGACTGCTGGGAGAAAGCTGAATCCAGATGCATATTTGGCCAATGCTCTCCTTCCCTTATAATGGTCCAGGACAAAACCCCAGACGGAGAAAGCTGGGTGTTTGAAATCTGGCTGCAAACGTTGTTCCTTGAGATTAGCAGGTCGTGGCCATGGGACTGACCTGTGTTATGAGAAACACTTGGACTGATGCATTTCTCACTAGTAATAATTGCAAAGTTTCCTTTGAGCTTAAGGGAGCTGCAGAGGTAGCAGAAACCGCCTCCGATGTGCAGACGACCCTTTTTGGCTTTCCCCTTGTTTGATTTATAGGAATTACTATAGGATTTGCTCACAGCATTCCTCTGCAGGGAACCGGTTTGGATAAAATACAAAGACGGCCCCATCCCACAGCCTTCCCTGAACCTCTCCCTACTCTTAGAGCTGGACATGGTTTGAGACGGAAATATTTAGGTTTAGTCACTGCTCAGAAAGCCCATTCCTGGGAGATCTCCTGCCCGAGTTCATAAACTCAAGAGGTTTAGCGAGTTTAGGTAAACATCAGGGGTGAGATCTTGGCTCCATTGAAGTCAGTTGGAGTTTTGCCATTGTCTTCAATGGGGCCAGAATTTCACTCCAGGACTTCCAACTGTCAGTCTAAACCAAACCCTCCCTGTTCCCTCTCCCTGGGGAAGATCACCTCCAGATCTAAACCATGCAGCTGCTTCTCCCTTCCCCTTTCTAAAATGGGCCAAGCCCCAGCCCCCCAAAACGCTGGGTCAGAGTTTGGCTTAGGCCCCACTCGAATCCAAACAGGACCTGAGATCTGGACACTAATAGGTCCATCTTTTATTAGTCTTCTGAGCCACGAGTAGGGGCAAGTGGAATTGCTGAGGATCTGGTCTGTGAAGAGGGGCCTCAGACCTGAAGCTGGGAATTTCCCTGGGGCTTTCTTGGGGCTGATCATTCTTCCTCCCAATGTGAAATGAAGCACTGGAAGAGTGCTCCGCTGGCCTACGCTAGTGCCCGACATGACTGGCTGCAGCGACCTGCTTGCTTACAAGTGCACAGCCCTTCCAGCTGTGCCAGTCACAGGGGGAACCAGACTGGATATTTAGTGCGACTTTTCTGATCGTTAGAGATGGAGTTGGGGTAATCAGAGCCCGGTTGCTTGAGCACATCTCTGCTGAAAGCAGGCTCTTGCCATGTTCCTGACTTAGGGCTGTCTCCTTGGACATCTGCCCCTGCCTCTAGGAAACCTGCTGGGTGGTGTTGTGTGCATGCGGGATGGGGGTGTGTGTGTGTCAGTTCTTTGGTACAGGGGGAGGGGAGCAGCTATGGACGAGTGGTGGAAGTGGTACCCCACAGCCTATCCTGGGCAGATTAGCATGGTAAACACCCTGGATTCCTGTCTGACATGAACTGCACGAAGACAGAATAGATCCAGTCCATCAGTAATTGCAGGGAGGGTGTAAGTGATGCATGGGATGGGGATGAGCCAGAACACAGCAGAGAATGGCTAGTATCGATGCCGGGAAGCATGTGTGCACAATGCGTGTCATGTACATGTTGAGGGGGCAGGAAGGGGCTGTAGCCTACGTAACAGGATGGTGGAAGAGGGTGCAAGGTGAAGCCAATAGCAGACCAATGCACTGGGGAGCCAAGCTCATCTCTCTTGGAGTAGAGGTGCTAAAACAAAGTTATTTTCCAAGTAGATGCAGCAATTCCAGCGGGAAAAGCAATGGCCAGCTGGCATGTGTGGTCTGGGGTGTTACACAACAGACCGAAAACCAGACAGAACCGGGAACAGGAGAGGGTGTGAAGCACAGCTGGCAAAGGGGCCCTGGCTGCAAAGTTCCGACCTGGAGCTGAACTTCCCCAAAGCTCGGGGTGGTTTCTGTTCCAGGCTTGTTTCTAAAGACCACTGCATTCTGCGATTTCCCTGTCATTGTGCCAAGGGGAAAGCGCCACCTCGCAAAACCAGCGCCAGTGCCGGGCAGGAGTGAGGACTCCCGTGGAGATGGGAGAATTTGTTAGCTAACACTTAGCACCTGGGATTTACCCAAGTACAGGCTGCTGGGCTAGATGGACCATTGGTATGTTCTTAAACTCCAGCTGAGATCATTGCATTTCTTGCCAGGAGTCCTGCGGGTGGAGGAGAAGGCAAGAGGCATTTAGAAAAGGATGAGGCAGTAGACAAGTGACCCATCCTTTCCCCTGGGGCAAAAGCAGCAGCTCATGTTGTCACAGTGACATGACACGCTGCAGGTGACTCGCTGCTCCACTGCCACTGAGACCACGGAGGGAGGGGTGCTGAAGCACAGCCGTAAGCCACTTGCCCCGTGAATGCCAAGAAGTGAGCAGGAAGAGAGGCAGCCCCGGTCGCAGGGGAACAGCAGAGCACAGGCTTGCCTCTGAATAGTGAGGCCGGATCAAGAAGCTCTGAAACCACATGTAAACCCGCCTTTGCTGGGAAGGGATTCACTCTGCATCGCTCCCCACCATCCTCCCTGAGTTCACTCCAGAGCTCTCTGGGGAAACGCGGGCAGTGCAGAAACAGGCCAGCCCTGGTTTGAATTGTCAGTACCTGTGAGAACAGCTCTTGCCCAGCTGGCTCCTGCATGCCTTTACATTTCACAGCTGGCATCAGCAATAGCTCCCTCCAGGAGAACTAGGTCATGAGCGGAGGCTGTGGGGAGGCACAGGAAGGGAAAAGGAGATGGAATCACACGCTGCTTTTACTTTCTTATAAATGATTTAGCAGCTCAGCAACGACAAAGGTCACCTTCTCGTTCGGTTTGCTGACCGCCTGCAGACACGCTTATCGCTAGGTGTGCGTGGGAAAACAATCACGTCTGCCCGACACACGCAGCCACAATCCACCGATATACCATAGGCATCATATGCTTTGCAGTGGGATAGCCCCTTTCACCTACAGGTCTCAAAGGGAGTGGCAAAGGAGGGGTAGTGTCATCATGAAACTGAGGCGCAAAGTGACTTGCACAAGGTCATCCAGCGAGTCAGTGGCAGAAGTAAAGAAAAGAGGCTGACTCAGGTCTTTTAACCACAAGCCATATGCTTGAACCACTAGGCCAGAGCAAACCTGCAAAAATAAGCAACTCTACTTGTTGACTGTCATTGTCAGGTTTGAGAAGTAACTCAGGAATCGTCTTCATGGCCTATTTAAAGTTTATCCGTATGTATTTATGCATTTCTTAGCATGCCTGTGTATAGGTTGTACCCTTTCCATTCAATTCTCTGCCTTTAGATTGTGAGCTGGGCAGGGCAGGGCTGGTGCCTTATTTTTTCCATTTAGCAAGAGCTTAGCACATTGCACCCTTGGAAATAAATAATACTGATCAATATAGGGCCTGATCCTGTGCCCATTGAAGTCAATGGGAGCTTTGCTGCTGATTTCAACATGAGCAGGAGCAGGCCTACAGGACAGGAAATCCATGATCACACAGCAAGGATAAGCACGTATCATACACAAAGAGAGGCAAGATACACAAACACATGGCAACGGGGATATGTACAGCTGCATTGTGCAGCGAAACTGCATGCTGTATCAGCAAACAGACTCGAACAGCCCACAGGGAAATGCACAGTGCATGCCACCGGGCAGGCATTCTGATCAGTCACAATGCACCACCAGACAGCTGCCCCTTTGCCATGCGGTAGCAGATTGTGGGTGGGTTAGTTTCCCATTGAAAGAGGACGAGGTTACTCGGAGCCAGGGTATTTTCTGGAGCACTGCATATGCACAAAAGTCCTGCTTACCTGGAAGAGAGGGGCCAAAATCCCAGCTAAGGCACCACTGAATCCAGTCCTGTTGCAAGGAACAGTTCCCTCCTCTCTCTCCTCCTTGGTCTATGTCCCTTTGATTCCAGCACACGCTGTCTGCTCCTCTCGCCTGGCT